TCTTTCCCGTACTGCATGTGGGGCACCTCCTTGCCCATGTGCTGCATCGGGATGCCTTCTTTGCCCAGCGGCATGTGAGGTACTTGTTGTCCGAGGGGTTGGTACTGGGGTACCTGGGGTGGCAGCTGTTTGATCCCATAGTAGACGCCACCTTGAGCAGACCTCACCAGCTCTAGGTAAATGGTGACAGCCACTGCCAGCAGCTGCACAGGGAAGAGCAGCATGGCCATCACCTGCAAAAAACACAACAAAACCCACAGTTGGCAGAAAATTTTTTTTTTTGTGCTGTGTGTTTCCCGTTAGGGCTGACCTGCTCTCATTTTCTGCAGCAAACTGGACCTAAACCTCTGCAAACTGGCTCTGGTTTGTGTGTTGCCCTGAAGGACATCCTGCAACAGGCCTGTATCTGCTTTATTGGAGGCTTTTGCTCAAATAGTACCAGTACAGCAAATGTCCTTATATGCATTTAGTTTAATACTACCCCACACACCCCAGGTGGTGCCCTCTGTGGTTTCTCCGTACAAGGACGCGGTCCCTGCCATCCCCAAGCCACAATTTGCCACGTTCTCACTTGTGTCAGTGCCGCGACACAAGGTTTGAGGAGCTCTGCTGCAAGATCCGGCACAGGGGAAAGCAGGCAGGGACATGTGGGTATCCCAAACGCTTTCTGCCCAAGGAAGCTAAATTATCAACGCCCCTTCTGCTATGCTTTCCATAGCAATGAAAGCTCAGTTTCTACAGCTTAAATCTGTGCCTAGGATTGTGCCCTGTGGCTGTAGAGTCCAGGGGTTTTCCATTTCTATCGCAGGATCTTGCCTGCTCTCCTAAGCTGGGCTCTGATCCTCTCAGCCTTCCCGCAGAAGAACTGGGCCATCTAGGGACTGTCTGGGCCATCGCTGCCTCCAGGCAGGACCAGCCAACCCAAGCCTTTCTCTGGAAATGTTCAGCTATTTTGTAAAGGTCTCCCCCGCTGCAGACCCTGTCACCTCCCCAGGCAGCCTGTCCCAGCGCCTCACCAGCCCTGCCAGCACAGCAGAACAGGGTTGTTTTCTTTCTTTTTCTTTCTTATTAAAATATAAGCTTGGGACTTCTTGTCCCATCTGCTGTTGGCTGTCCTTTCTGCAGTAAGGGCATTACTAGCAGGTGAGCGGCAAATCAGGAACCTAAACAAGTGCAAATTTGGGGGCAGCCTGAGGTAACAGGGAGACTCTCCATGTGTTTGAGTATTTTGCAGTTTGTCCTACAACCAAACCCTCTATGCAAGTCCTCTTCTTTTCAAATGCGCGGGTGTGGGTCATCGTTGTTGTCATCATCCCCCTGCTTTTCCCCCCATGCAGACACCTTGCACCCAACCTGGGCACCTGGGAAAGCCCCCCCCCCCCCCCAGGCACGCTGGCAGAGCTTTGCCAAGCTGCTCATCAGGACTCGCTCCCAGCAGCTGCTGGGCCCTGCTGAGCCCTGGTGTGATAAGCGAGGCCTTTGTGCCACCTGTGTACTTTCCTGTGCTTCCCCAACAGCCTGGCTCATCATGGAGGACAAAAAAGCACCTCGGTCTGTGGCAAAGGGTCTCAGCGCCATGTCCCCTGTGCCTAGGCTGGGACGTGTCCTTACAGGAGCCCTACAGAGACCTGGCTTCGGGCAGGTGAGGCCACTGCTGAGAGCCGGGGGAAAGTGTGAGAGGTAGGTGGGGTTGGAGGGAGGAAATGTATTTCTGGAGGAAGGGGCAGCAGGCGGCTCCGCTTGCCTCCTCTAACGCTGTGTAGTGTACAGCAGG